CAAACCCCCCAACTAAATGTTAAATTCCTCAACAACAAAACATGCCCCATAAAAACGATGAAAGCCAATTAGTGCTAGCTATCCAGGCTATGCAAAGCGACCCAAAGTTACGCCTTCGAGTTGCTGCTAGGATCTATTCTGTGGACCACCGCAAGCTAGGTCGTCGTCTAGAAGGTGTACCTTCACGACGCGATATCCAAGCCAACTCACGGAAATTAACTAACCTAGAGGAGTCCGTCCTTGTTCAGTATATACTCGACCTAGCTGCCAAAGGGTTTCCTCCTCGGCTGTCTGTTGTTGAAGATATGGCAAGTCGACTACTTGCAACACGCGACGCGTCACGCGTTGGGTCGCGTTGGGCTTCAAACTTTGTTAAGCGGCGTGTAGAGCTCCAGACACGCTTTCAGCGCAAATACGACTACCAGAGGGCTAAGTGCGAAGATCCAGAAGTTATTAATGGCTGGTTTGAGCTTGTGCGTAACACAATTGCGAAATATGGTATCGATGAAGCAGATATCTACAACTTTGATGAGACTGGGTTTATGATGGGCGTTATCTCAACTGCTATGGTTGTAACAAGCTCAGACGGGCGGGCAAAAGCAAAGAAGGTACAGCCTGGTAATCGGGAATGAGTTACAGTAATCCAAGGCGTTAGTTCTCAAGGTTGGGCAGTACCACCATTTATCATTGTTGCAGGCAAAAACCACCTTACATCTTGGTATGAGAATAGTGGATTTTCAAGCGATTGGGTGATTTCTGTTACTGAAAATGGCTGGACTACAAACGAGAGAGGCATGGATTGGATTCAGCACTTTGAGAAGCATACAAAGGCCCAGAGTGTTGGTGGTTATCGCTTGTTAGTCCTTGATGGTCATGAGAGCCACCACTCAGATGAGTTTGAGGAGTACTGCAAGGAACACAACATTATTACGCTTTGTATGCCTGCTCACTCTTCTCATCTACTCCAGCCACTTGATGTTGGCTGTTTCGGCCCGTTAAAGCAGGCCTATGGTCGGCAAATTGAAGATATGATGCAGGCTCATATTTCTCATATTACAAAGGATGACTTCTTTCCTGCCTTCCACGCTGCATTTAACACTACAATGACGGAAAGTAACATTTGAGGCGGGTTCTGAGGGGCAGGGCTTCTTCCATTTGACCCTGAGAGAGTGATATCTACACTTGATCTTAAGTTAAGGACACCAACGCCTCCAAGCTCCCGCCCAGGTACTGCTCAACCTTGGGTTTCTCAGACACCAAACAACCCAATTGAAGCTATGTCACAGTCTACATTTATTAAAACTCGGATTTCACGCCATCAAAATAGCTCTCCAACCTCAATCTATGCAGCTGTTGACCAGTTTACAAAGGGTGCATCGCAAATAATGCATCAATTAGCACTGCTAAAGGGAGAGAACCAAAACCTACGACAGGCAAATGAAGTACTAAGCAAGCGCCGGAGAGCTAGGAAAACACGACTACAGCAAGGAGGATCACTTAGTCAACAAGGGGCGCAAGAGCTACAGGATGAGAGGGATGTTGTGCAGCAGGTAGAGCAGGAAATAAGGGCAAGCCGTGGTCGGAAGCCAAGGGAAGAAACCCGTGCCCGTCGCTGTGGCAAGTGTGGTGAGACTGGGCACAATGCGCGCACGTGTCAGATTGTAATAGACACCTCTGAGGAAGAGGACTCCGAGTAGTTTCAATTGATTTCTAATGTTGTGGTAGATTTATCGCAATGTTTGTCGTGAGGGTAGATAATTTTGGCGCTTTCGCTTGTTTGGCGCTTTCGCTATACATGTACGTTACCACATTTGTCTTATTATCTTTAGCTGCTTAATATTAACGTACATGTATAACGAACCGGCCAAACAAGCGAACCGGCCAATCCAGTTTACACCTTAAATCACGAATTTCATAACTTAATATCTCAACAACCCTTTAATAATAAGTTAACGTACATGTATAGCGAAAGCGCCAAACAAGCGAAAGCGCCAAAATTATCTACCCTCACGACAAACATTGCGATAAATCTACCACAACATTAGAAATCAATTGAAACTACTCGGAGTCCTCTTCCTCAGAGGTGTCTATTACAATCTGACACGTGCGCGCATTGTGCCCAGTCTCACCACACTTGCCACAGCGACGGGCACGGGTTTCTTCCCTTGGCTTCCGACCACGGCTTGCCCTTATTTCCTGCTCTACCTGCTGCACAACATCCCTCTCATCCTGTAGCTCTTGCGCCCCTTGTTGACTAAGTGATCCTCCTTGCTGTAGTCGTGTTTTCCTAGCTCTCCGGCGCTTGCTTAGTACTTCATTTGCCTGTCGTAGGTTTTGGTTCTCTCCCTTTAGCAGTGCTAATTGATGCATTATTTGCGATGCACCCTTTGTAAACTGGTCAACAGCTGCATAGATTGAGGTTGGAGAGCTATTTTGATGGCGTGAAATCCGAGTTTTAATAAATGTAGACTGTGACATAGCTTCAATTGGGTTGTTTGGTGTCTGAGAAACCCAAGGTTGAGCAGTACCTGGGCGGGAGCTTGGAGGCGTTGGTGTCCTTAACTTAAGATCAAGTGTAGATATCACTCTCTCAGGGTCAAATGGAAGAAGCCCTGCCCCTCAGAACCCGCCTCAAATGTTACTTTCCGTCATTGTAGTGTTAAATGCAGCGTGGAAGGCAGGAAAGAAGTCATCCTTTGTAATATGAGAAATATGAGCCTGCATCATATCTTCAATTTGCCGACCATAGGCCTGCTTTAACGGGCCGAAACAGCCAACATCAAGTGGCTGGAGTAGATGAGAAGAGTGAGCAGGCATACAAAGCGTAATAATGTTGTGTTCCTTGCAGTACTCCTCAAACTCATCTGAGTGGTGGCTCTCATGACCATCAAGGACTAACAAGCGATAACCACCAACACTCTGGGCCTTTGTATGCTTCTCAAAGTGCTGAATCCAATCCATGCCTCTCTCGTTTGTAGTCCAGCCATTTTCAGTAACAGAAATCACCCAATCGCTTGAAAATCCACTATTCTCATACCAAGATGTAAGGTGGTTTTTGCCTGCAACAATGATAAATGGTGGTACTGCCCAACCTTGAGAACTAACGCCTTGGATTACTGTAACTCATTCCCGATTACCAGGCTGTACCTTCTTTGCTTTTGCCCGCCCGTCTGAGCTTGTTACAACCATAGCAGTTGAGATAACGCCCATCATAAACCCAGTCTCATCAAAGTTGTAGATATCTGCTTCATCGATACCATATTTCGCAATTGTGTTACGCACAAGCTCAAACCAGCCATTAATAACTTCTGGATCTTCGCACTTAGCCCTCTGGTAGTCGTATTTGCGCTGAAAGCGTGTCTGGAGCTCTACACGCCGCTTAACAAAGTTTGAAGCCCAACGCGACCCAACGCGTGACGCGTCGCGTGTTGCAAGTAGTCGACTTGCCATATCTTCAACAACAGACAGCCGAGGAGGAAACCCTTTGGCAGCTAGGTCGAGTATATACTGAACAAGGACGGACTCCTCTAGGTTAGTTAATTTCCGTGAGTTGGCTTGGATATCGCGTCGTGAAGGTACACCTTCTAGACGACGACCTAGCTTGCGGTGGTCCACAGAATAGATCCTAGCAGCAACTCGAAGGCGTAACTTTGGGTCGCTTTGCATAGCCTGGATAGCTAGCACTAATTGGCTTTCATCGTTTTTATGGGGCATGTTTTGTTGTTGAGGAATTTAACATTTAGTTGGGGGGTTTGGTCACCGCATCATTTTGGCGCTTTCGCTTGTTTGGCGCTTTCGCTATACATGTACGTTATAAAAATATGTACTTAGCCTTTTATAAGCATTTAGTACTCTATTTGATTTTTAAAGCAATTAGTATTGTAGTTATTAAGATACTAAGAATTAGGTCAAAAGTGGGGGCTAAAACTCAATATCTTAATAACTACAATACTAATTGCTTTAAAAATCAAATAGAGTACTTTAAATGCTTATAAAAGGCTAAGTACATATTTTTATAACTTATTATTAAAGGGTTGTTGAGATATTAAGTTATGAAATTCTTGATTTAAGGTGTAAAATGGATTGGCCGGTTCGTTATACATGTACGTTAAGTTAAACGTCATATTTAATTTAAAATAGCTCCATTGTTTGGATAAATTTATGGGCAAAAACTCGATATACCCAGTAAACTGGTAAGAAAACTCCATCTACCCAGTCGGCCGCTAACCCTCCTTTGGAAAGGTTAACGAGCCAATGAGAGGCGTACTCTCATTTGAGTACGCCTACGACAGGCTTGGTTGGAATCGTGAGTATCTATAGTATTGGCAGGGGCGGTTTTTGGCGCTTGGGCAGCATGGGGTATTCCCCCGCGGAGGACACGTGGGAACCCACCGACAACCTAGCTAACGCGCCAGACATCCTACAAGCGTACCACGAAGCCGCTCCGCAACCGATCTGGACAAGACGCTAGCGCACACGGCGACGTCAGACCACCGACCCAAACAACCCAAACGCATGGGAAGGGACGCACGCCAAAACCCCCCCGAGTTATGGGAAGGGGAGGTCGGCGAGCCCACCTCAGTCGAATCGGGTACGTACCAGTACTGGTCCGACCCTGGCCAAGAGGAGGATAGAAACGACGCGCACAACACCACCCAACTACCAGCAGCCAGAGCGAGGCACAGGCGCAGGGGCGCAACGGGGTGAAAACAGATCACGGGGGCAAGAACACTCGTATTATAAGCCCTAAGGCCAAACTAAACTATGCCGAAGGCGGCGGGAATAACAAACACGGGGGCCCGTAGGCAAACCATGCACAAAACGCCCGGAACACCCCCGACAACACCGCCACGCCAACCAGACCAAACAAACCGCCAACGACCACCGCCACACCACGCCAGAGTAACCCAGGGGCAGGAACGGCGACGATGACGGGAGTGACCCGATCGGCCACCCAGCGAGGGGCGACACGAACGACCACCCAGCAGACCGCCACCGCCCTACCCTCGATCCTTCGCCTTCCTCCTCTCCCTCTTCTCCGCGGCCTGGCCGCGCTACGCCAGAGCGTTAGCAGGGACGTCCAAACAAGCCAAACAAAAGGGGGGGAGACTTACCCTGATCTGGCGGAGGACCGCCAACATCTCCACCTGGTTGGCCAGGATGGCCGCGTTGACGTCCGTGGCCGGGAGCGCCACGGACGTGGCCACGTGGACCTGGGCGGGGAGGGCGCGACAGTCCGCCTTGGTGGCGGCGGAGGCGTGTCGTAGTCCGACTGCAGCGCCAGCAGATCCCAGACGGCGACGGCAACGGAGGCGGGGACCTATCAGCCTAGGCGTTAGCAATGGAAACACCAAGGACAGGAAAAACCAAACAAGACCGCCCGGAGACTCACCGGAATGCACTTGTCCTTGAGACGAGTGCACCTCGTGCACTTGGTGGAGGTCTTCGGGAAGACGCAGGAGAACTCGGGACTTTGCGCGAGGTGCTTCGCGCAGCGCAGGCAGCACACGCGGACGAGGGCGGCATGGTGGTCTTCGTCGTCAGATGACAGGGAGGACTCGGACTCCTCCTCCTCCTCGTCGGAGGCCAACGGGTGCTTCCTCTTCCTGGAGGAGCGGCGGGGCGCAACAACCTCCTCCTCTTCCTCCTCTTCCTCAGGGGGGGGGGAGGTCGGCGAGACCACCGGCGAGGTCGCGCGAGGGGTCGCGGAGTCAGCGGCGACGACAGACACGGCAGGAGTGAGAGCCCCAACGGGTCGACAGGCGCGGCAGAGGACGCGGACACAGACGCAGACGGGACGGCCGAGGGCCTAGCAGAATCTGACAAAGGTCAGCGAGGCACCAGGAGAAGAACCCAACAAGCCCAGAGCAACAAGCCCAGAGAAAAGCCAAAACAAGGAGACCTACCAGGGCGCACGGGACGACGGAAGGAGACACGAGGGGCCACACGCAGCGACCCCGGAAGGGAGGCGGGATGAGGTGGGGACCCGAAAGCCATCCACCCAGAAACTCCAGAAGGTCAGGAAACGCGCCAGGACAAGGAAAGAACGGAAAACTCACTGGTGGTAGGCCTGGTGGCCAGCGGCGACGACGGGCTCCGTCGCCCCAGGGGCAACAACAGCTTCGTCCGAGACGAAAAGACCCTCTTGAGGGCCGGACATGGTAGGGGCGGCGACGTCGACGGCAACGGCGATGGTTGATGGATCGGATAATTGAGGAAAAGGAAGGAAGAAGAGGAGGAGGGGTTGTTTCGAGCCCGCCTACTCCTTTGTGGCAGGGGGGGGTCACGTGCTCGGGGCAACTCGCGCTCAACCCCGTGACATGCCCTGGACAAAGGCGCGCAGGCCGGTTCCGGCCTAGCGTCGAGGGCTTAAAGGCGCGCCCGATTCCAGCCTCAAAGAAAGCCTTGGAATAAAGGAAACCCGTGGGCAGAAGTCGTAAGGTCACGTGACACCACGCGACCTTTCAGGGCAGGGATACGAGGCCGCTCCTAAGCGACGAACTGCCCCCGACCCACCGGTGGATCGCTAATGATCCACGTAACCGCGGAACCACTGCCTATGGTAACGAACATGATGAACGTGTTCGAAGGTCCCCGGACTCTAGAGGGGGGGGTGTTGTCACGGGTAGGTAGGAAGTAAGAAGGGTCGGTCGCGGGTCCGCGTCAGGGGCGCCCCGCTAGAGTGCCCTAGGCTGCCAAGGCCGCTAAGGGAGGCCTCGTAGCCTAAGGCCGCTATTAGGCTGGAAGACTGCAAGATGGCGCCCGGACCCGACTCGCAACTGAGACGGCGGGGGCCCAACCCCGAAGGAGTAGATAAGGTAGCTGAGCCCCCTATTAGTAGGGGCTCAGAGATTAGTCTGTTGAATACTATACTATTTGCTCCAACCTACGGTCTTAGCACACTGCCTACCTAAACCCTTACAATATGCTTGAATGTTACAAAGCGAATAAAGACCCTATCTAAGCAATGAATGTCCGACTCACATTCGATGGCTCATTTAATCATAGACTCATGATGTTACAAACATAACTATCTATAACTGCTTTCGAAAAAGCACAATTCTCTAACGCCTAATTCAGCTTCTAATACACCCTCTTCCTAATATTAACGACCTTTATCAACAAGTACAACAAGTTGGCTACATTTATGATGCTATAGATCTCTCAAACTTCTTAAATCTAGTAGAGGAGGACATAGAGACAATGGAGGAGAGCATTACAGAGCCTATAGGGGAGGATATACTGTTAGAGCAGGTCATCACATAATATGTAAGGATGCCTCCGCCCTCAGTGATGGAAAGCATCTGAGTCGGGCAGGTTACGGTCACGTGGGGAGAGTTAGGGCAGGTTAGCCGAGTCGGACCTGTTTCGGGTACTTAGGGGATTGACCCAACGGGGTTCCTCATCATCTTTTTTGTATCCTTCGTAGTAAACCTATAGGATAGCATCCGTTTAGCCTCCGACTCGCACTCTCATATGCTATTACTGTGAGCTGGGTGCCCTGTGTCCTTATATAATATATACTAGATACTAAGGCTCAAGATGATGAAGAGGATGAAGAGCTTAATCCACAGCCTATGCTAACCCTACAAGCTGCACATCAAGCTATACAACGTCTGATTAAGTTCACAGAATCTAGGAATAGTGGTATGAAGGATGCAGCAGTGTATTTACGGTCTCTTGAGAAGTTTAAGAGAGAGTTAGGGCTTACAGTTGCCAATTCTAAGGCACAGGGAACTTTGGATAGCTGGTTTATGTAAATAGACTCATTTTATATAGATGTCACGTGAAATTCAATATCTTAATATTTACGCTATCTCAATATTATTTACGGGAGCCGAGCTATCGGCTTAACGGATTATGACTGTATGTTCATTACGCCACGACTCACGTTAACGCACGTCCGCGCGCTCCACTAGAACAAGCGCCCTAGCGTCGGAAGAGCCAGCCAACAAGATGTTGCCAACGCTCTCACGTTCTCTTGTCGTCCAGATGTGCGGCGGGGACGAGACAAACAAGATGCATGCATACGCGTTCTTGGCGAATGACTGGGATTGGAGGTACAGACCAGCCTACCGGGTGCGCTATAGGTCTGTTTAATAACAGGCGCGCTTCGATGAATGCTGTTTGCTGGTTCGGAGCATTCCAAGCATTCTCCAAGCACGCTGCTACTCCGAACTCTCTGCCAATCCAAATATGCCGCCGATCACAACAATTCCCCTCAAGCCACCCACCTCCCCACCACCAAAAACTCACCTTCAGCCCAGCCCCCACCCCCCTCTGTCTCGCGCACACCCTCCACCGCCTCTGGTGCCCCGCCCCGAGAAAACCAACATGTTAGTGGCGCTCTCAGCCGTTAGCTATCCGACCAGCGTGACCCCTCTACTTAAGACAGATGAGGAAAGACTTGCGCACGTATATTGACTCGGCGGGGGCCGCGCCTGTGATTAGACGTAAGCCCGAGGCAGCGCGGCATTGATAAGCTGGCGCGAGACATGGAATGCAGATGGGATTGGACGGTGGGGAAGCAACGGAGTGGTTTAGTGTGGTATCAATATCGCAAGGCTCGCCACAGTAACATCGGCTATCGAGCAAGGGCGGAGCTGATAGCAAACATTTACGATTATCCTCTAGTTGGCGCAGGGGCGGGCACGAATCTCACCGCCCCTGCTCCATCATCCTCTAGTCGGCGCAGGGGCAGGCACGAATCCTACCGCCCCTGCTTCCCTCTCCCACCTCTCCATTTCACTCTCACCAAGAGGGCTCATCTCAATTAACTCTCCTTGCGGGCGCAAACTCCCAATACTCTCTCTCCTATATGGAGCCGGTATGGGGACGTGAGGGAACTCTCCGGGCGCTGGACCACTCGGGCTCGTATGCTGGCTCACATACGGACCTCCTGCTCCTCCGCCTCCTCTACTGACCGCGCTCGCAGGGCTCTCATCGGTGGACTGTGCGGGCCACTGGTAATTCGAAGCCTTAGTCATGAAGGCGCCGCTGCTCATGCTCTGGGGGCTATCATCCGTGCCTTTCCAGCGCGGGGCCTGTGCCATGGCAGGGGATGCGGCGTAGCTGGCGAGTATGGAGCGACGGCGTCGGCGGCCGCGCCAGACAATGCAGGTCCCGAGGACGATGAGGATGAGGAGGAAGCCACCCACGGCGATACCGATTTTGGCGCCCAGATTGAGGGGGCCGGAGGGCGGGTTGAATGAGGATGCGATTATATCGGCCGAGGAGTAGGGCTTGGTGATTGCCACTCGCGTGCTAGAAAAGGGGTCGCCTTCTACGCCGATGAGGGCCCCATTTCCAGGTTTCTGCTGGCAGCTTGCGCTGAGGATGGTCATGACTGGGAGTGGGATATTAGCCGGGCTCATATGGGAGGTTGGGGGAGCGTACAATTAACGAGGTATTCTTCCTCTTCCAGGGCTTCGATACAGCTCTGGCATCTCAAGGTGTCTGTGTCATCCCAGTGATTACAGTAACCGTAGTCGGTTGCGCCGGATGGAGCCATGTTGTTATGGTAGGTTAGGGAGTCGAGGAAAGGTTCGCAAGCGGAGGCCGTGATGCATGGCGTGGACGCGATCTTCGAGTCGTTGAAGATGCAGTAGTCGGCCGCGTAGCGCAGGTTATCTGTCGCGCCGGCATCAGCATCGCGCAGGAGAATAACAGAGTATATGGGACACATACATATCGCAGCAGTCAAATCGGATAGGCCCGTCGGATCGACATACGTGCTCTTTAGCTCGCACTCCACGCATGCCTTGAAGGTCTGGCCCACCCCGCTGCCGAATTTCTTATCTCCACATGCGATATCAGGAGGCGTGGTCGCGTCGAGGACGTTTCCACAGCTGATGGCGCAGTCGGACTGGGGCGCGACGAGTATAGCTGATATCGGGGAGAGGAGACCGAAGATCACGGCGGCGCGCCGGAGATTGATGCGCCGCATGGTGGGATGCGTCGTCGGCAATCCTAGAAGAAGCTACCGCATGGGTATATGTGCTGGGGATCTGAGGGTTCCATCCCGACTGTCGAGGAAGCCCCCTTACATACATCTGTCAACCATTAGTGGATGGTGCAGGTTCATGAGAGTACGGCGATTGGACGTGTGGCGGTACGTACCCCAACCCGGTTCATACTATTGGCACAACCTCAATAGGAATAGCGTCGTGGCGTCCAATTGGTGATCGGTGCGGGCCGTCCTGTGTACGCCATGTGTGGTCTAACTCGAACGGGCAATTTAAAGGTCGCAGAAGGATGAGGCCGCCCACGGAGGCGGAGCCTCATGGCGTTTCTCCAACTGAATTATACCTGCCGACGTCGTTATTGGGGCAGAGTCCTTTCAGGGCCTCAATTGGGGCCGGGCAAGCCCTTTTGTTTCCGTTCTCTTGGCTGACTACATTCAGGCTCGTCTCGTCAGTAGATAGCTTTAAGGGATATCTTGAATTTCGCGCAATCTCTCGGGCTCCTTTGAAGTTGACTTTTCAACAGAGATCCCATCGTCGGCCTGCGCGATGATCGCATATATCTAATTTACTGAGGTGGTAGCTTTCCGTTCTGGGGGGGGCATCACCAAAAGTGGCTTATGCTGAGGGGAAGCGGAATGGCGTGAGACACAAAGCTCAACAAAAGCTGTATTACATCTCAGCAATAATACTATCGGGAACATTAGCCCACAATGCCTGGCACGATATGTCAGACTATTTGTTTGGGTTTTACCATATTAGCCCACAATGCCTAGCACGATATGTCAGACTACGTATTTGTTTGGGTTTTACCATGCAGTGGAGGCACTTCGGTATGGCGGGACAGTGAGGTCCAAGATGTGTCCGAAGAAGGTGACAGCAACGGCGAAACGGTGACAGCATCCGTAAGGAACAAGAAGGCAGAGGTAACAGCACCCTGCTCCAACGACAGAATGAGCGGTGGCAACAGCGGTATATGACGGCATCGCCGGCACACCCGCAAAAGCTCTAGTGCGTAGACCGCGAACTAAAAGTAAGAGGGCGATATCGATCATGTTCCGATGGGGTTCATTTATTATTGGAATGAGTTTGACGACCTGCTTTGATACAATCCCACTGTGCATATGTTAGTGCATGCATGCGTCGAGGTTGGGAAGCAGTTCTAAACCGAATGTTCTTGCATTCAATCGGGCCAATAACCCGTTTCACCATCCCCAAGGCAGCCGTTCCAACTGGTCCCTCATATCCTGAGTCGATGAGGAAACTGGATTCAGCTATTCTGATAACTCACTTGCGTCTCCAGGTCCATATTCCCTCTTCATCTGTTTTGACCGCGCTTACAGGCGGCAAGTTTATCAATAAAAATGGGGACAGAGATGCGGCTGGGCCACCTCTTGCACACCATGTACTCCAGTCATCATTTCTCAGGGGGGATTTAACTATAGAGCCAATATATATCAATTTATGATCTTATCAAACTTCCAGACCCCGCTGGTGACCTTTCTCAACTCAACCCCCTCCTTACCCCGCCATCTAGCAGATATGTGATGATATATTTGGTACCTTTGCTCTTCATCGCAGCGTATATCTTCACTCGCAACGTTTCTGCAACTTACATCAGACGCTTCCGGCTGTTTTTTTTTTTAAAAAAAAAATGTCTGGCGACTTCCCATTCCCTTTTGACCACTTGGAAGAGCTCAACTGGAAAGTTTCTCGTACTGGGGTCTGTCTCGCCACAGGCCCAGTCTTCTTGTTGTCGGTGCTCTCTTGTTGTCGATATCCTTTTTCTCAGCGCGAGCTCTACCGCTGTCGGTATGCTTTCTCGCCGTGTCTTCTAGTTTGCCCCTGGCGCTATATGCGCCCGATTGCTTGCCATCCAGACGACACGTTCCACCAAGGCTCCAAGGGGCATGAATTGAGAACACGACAATTTTTCTGTTTGCTTCGAGTGAAGGCAAAAGGTATGAAGGGTGGCCGTTTGTTCACTATTATAGCTCGATTTCCCAGTTCCTAGAGTCATCAACCGTAAGCTTCTCTGTTGTCAGTATGTTTTCTTCAACTTCTCATCATATTTCCTTACCCAGGGCCGCATTGGCTCTGAAATGACTGCTGATTTCTTCCGTTGAACCTTCTATATTTCAAGGTCGATATCGCTATTTTCGGCAAATAGTTGAATCGTTGGGACTTTTTGTGCCTAGATAGGAGCAGCAGGGCAGGTGCCTGGACACATTCTCGGAACATCTGTTCCATCGAGACGCTCATTTCTGGTGCAACTTTTCCATCATAGCGCATTACCATAATATGCTTAACTACTATATCTAAGTGGCGGATGAAGGTGGACATATGAGGGTGATCGTTTGGTCAGCTTCACTTCACAGCTGGCTTTCCCTGCTCCCAAAGTCATCAACTACGGCCATCTTGAGAGAAAAGCAAGTCGAGGGGCAGTAGTCACACAGAGGACTTTTCTGAGAAGTAAAGAGGTAGCAGATAGGTATATTTGACTCTAAGTACTCCTCGCTATTTTCAAATCCATCAATACAGCCGAGCAGATCGTCTATCATTCCTACATTAGGCATACAAAGCAAACCCTCGCAGGCAAATCACTGCCGCTCCGAACGCCGTATATATAAAATATTTCCCCACCCCCACGCTCAGGCCGGCTTCTTCTTATCCTCCTCCGCCTTCTTCTTTGCCTCCTCTTCCGCCTTCTCAGCCTGCTCCTTATGAATCTTCGCCGTCAGATCCGTTTCCTGCTTCTTCCTCTTCTCCTCCTTCTTCCTCCCCTCCTCCTCCTCCGCCGCCTTCCCCGCCTCCTTCTTCTTCCTCTCCTCCTTCTTCTTCCTCTCCTCCTCCAACACCTTCTCCGCCTCCTTCTGCGCCAGCTTCTTCTTCTTCTCAATCTTGATCCTCGACTTCTCCGCCTCCGCCTTCTCAAACGCCAACGACGCCGCCTGATCAATACCGCCCTCACGATTATCACCCTTGCACCGCTCCCGCTCCAGCTTCATGGGCAGGATAATCGCGATTTCCGGACAGTACTTGAGGATCCTCGCGCGCTGGTCGCTGTTCTTCCACACGCCCTCGGGTAGGTGCCCAGCACCTTCGCGCAGATGGTACCCCATCGGCGCCTCATGGTAGACGTCCTCGACGCTGAAGTGCTTGGCGTCCAGCCCGCTGGCGACCTTGAAGTCGGGCATGGCGGAGATGCGCTTGCCGAACCACTCGTCTTCGGGTTCGGAGTCGTCGTCGCGGGTCTGGAAGTCGAGGACGCGCTTGATGGCTGCGACGCGGCGGACGGAGAGCCCGCCGTTGCCGGCGAAGGTGTCGGTGTTGCTTCTGCGGGGGTGTTAGTGTTGTGCTACCAACAGTTATGCAGGGTGGGTAGTAGAACCTTGGAGCGGCGGCCCAGTCGTAGCGGAGCCAGTCGTTCAGACTGTCTTTGGAGCTGGAGCACATAATGCTGTCGCTCTCGTATTTCATAATCCATTCCACCCCCGGAATCAAGTCTATGTAGAAGTGAGGGTCCGTGAGCATGCGCCACACATGCTCCTTATTCTTGATCTCCCACGGCTTTGGCACGACCGTGAGGTCGAGCTTGCCGGCCGCCTGCTGATGCTTGATGGCGAAGCTGCGGCCGACGGCAGCGACGCTCTTGTTGGTGCCGATAAAGAGGAAACGCCATTCTGGCGGAACGACGGATATCATATGCAGGATCTGTGGCACGAGATGCGGCCTCGCGCGCCCCTCAATCAGAAGCGCAAGCTTTGTCGTGTCGTACGTCGTGAGCGGGTCGCTTTCGGGGTGGAATTCCACGTTTATTGATGGGAGCTTCTGGCGCGTGCGTGTGAGTTGCTCTTGCAGCGACTCCTGATAACGCGGGAAGAGGCTGGCGATTGTCCATCTGCAGCGGAAGAGTCAGAAAGGGCTCAGCTGGGAGGAAGGAGGAGGACAAAACGTACATTGCTACTAGAGTTGCGAGGAGGAGGACCTTTGTGCGGTTCAGAGCAAACAAGCCGCCGGTGTTGGTGGTTAACGGCGGCATGGTGTCCCGCGATGCCAATCGCAGATAATGTAGGGCCTCAGAAGCCCGTCCGTATCATAGCCAGCAGTCTGCGCGTTTTCGAGGGCGTTCAATGGGAGTTCGCAGAGGCTCCGTATTGTGTTATCGCAGCAGTTGAAGTCGAGGATATCGACAGCTGTGCATGAACTCCAAGAATCCTACAGTACGTAGTGTCTTGGAATTCCTGAAAACGTTATCCACTGAGCTGAATCCATGGCGGCTCCTTTTTATCGCCGACGTACAAGTACATACAAGTGTCAACGGTGATAATTGGCGCTACTTTAGCCTGGAAAAATAGCTTCAAACGTGAAACAGAATTAGAGGCTGCTAGCAGTAGAGAAGTAGCAGTACTTGAGGATACAGTGTATAGTGGCTACGTACCAAAATAATATAGCACAGTACGAGTATCAACCAGCACTCTAAGTCAAACGGAGTCAAATACAAGAACCGGTACTAAGGCCACGACGACGCTTAGAATAAATAAGTTTACTCGTATCCATCCAGTATCACGTGAGCAGCGCATTAGGTGGCACGAAGTGGCGGCACTGATCGTGGGAAGCGCGATAAGTCAATTGATAATATATTATATACTCGTCCATATTCTTATATATTATATACTCCTACATAACTTATTCTTATATATTATTGGGTATTCTTGCTGTATATAGCCTGGTCTAAACCCTTTTCGTACGAGGCTACTCTAGACGTACCAGGAGCCGGGCATCGCTTACTGTACCTTCATATTTCTTGGCTCCAATTTCTTATCCATAACACATACACGGACAGAGACTATTGCCCCTTCCAGACAAATCCAGAGAGATTCTGCCTTTCTTTTTGTTTCCTTGCGCTGTGCTTGTACATTAATTTGCTGCGAGTTGCCACCACGGTCGCGACAAATCGATGAGTTCCTGAACCAGCCAACCCATCGTCCTACTGCCGTTACGTTCGGCCCTCGAAACCAGAAGCCGCCGCATTCGAGTTAAACCTCATAAGAGACCATGGCATTTGCCAGCACCTCGCGGGCAATATGGCTCAGCACCCTCGTCATCATCATCTGTCTCTATTTCACCCTTAATTCCGTACGTGCCGCCGCCCCCTTGGCCCCTTACCTCATCTCACGACCTCAACCCTCCATGCTAACGAACTCAACCAGGAAACTTTCAATGGCAGCACCATCATCCGCGTAGGGGGCAATACCCAGGCGCCCTTCGTCGAAACCCCTTTCACCCCCGAAGAAGCCTCCTGCAAAAAGCTGGGCATGATCAAAGAGGCCTCGTGCCCCGTCCCCGAGACCCCCTTTTTCAAGGCCCTCGACTCGGCCAAGACGCCCGACGACCAGCGCCCGCTCATCACCTACGCATACCACGAAACGGAGTTCGCGCGCGCCAATCTCAAGTTCTTCGTGGACCACGCGCTGCACGATGCGGCGGATTTCATCTTCATCCTCAACGGCGACACGGACGCGGACACGAGCATCATCTTCGCAGAGCCCGATGTCCCAGAGGACCTTCGCGACCTTCTTCCCAGGCGCGACAAGAAGAACATCTTTGTTAAGAAGCGGCCAAACACCTGCTTCGATCTGGGCGCGCACAATGAGGTTCTCAATAGCGTGCTCGGGGGCGAGGGATGGATCGGCAAGGATGGACCCATTAAGGAACCCAAGGGAATGGTGAGCGCGGGGGATAACATGCTGTTGAGGAATAAATATAAGCGCTACATTCTTATGAATGCCAGTATCCGTGGCCCATTCGTGCCTCGCTGGAGCACCCAGTGCTGGACCGACTCCTACCTCAACCGTCTAACCGACAAGATCAAGGTAAGCCCAACTTCCTCCCCCCAACCCCCCCTCACACAGCCCACCCCGCTAACCCCCCCCCCCCCCCAGCTCGTTGGCATGTCCTACAACTGCCACAACGGCGAGGGCCACATCCAATCCATGATCTGGGCGACCGACCACACCGGGCTGCAGCACATCCTCACCAAAGCCGGCATCGGCGAGTGCTTTGGCGCGATGGCCGACACCATGTTGGCGGAAGTGCGCACGACGCAGGTCCTCCGTGACGTGGGCTTCGAGGTCGACAACTTCATGAGCGTCTACCACAGCGAGAACCGCGCGGCCAAGTACGCGCGCATGCGCGCTAAGAAGGCGAAGGGGATTAAGCAGTTTAAGCGCGGTGAGGTCGAGTCCGGCGCGGCCGAGGAGGGCGCAAAGGTGAAGCGCGAGACGGAGGAGGAGGCTAAGGCTAAGGATGCTGAGGCGGGGGCTAAGAAGGAGAAGGAGGAGGTGGAGGCGAAGGCGAAGAAAGAAAACAAAGCCGCAGCTGAAGCCGCAAAGACAGCATCAACCCACATCCCCACCGCCTCTGAAGTCGCCGCCGCCAAAGCCGCCGAGGAAGAGCGCATCCGCCAAGAAAAAGAAGCCAAAGCGGCCGCCGAAGAGAAGGCGCGGATCCAGAAGGAGAAGAACGACAAGCTCCTCCTGATCGAGGATAACGAAATGCCGGGCTACTTCTGGCGGGAGTGCAAGGACGAGGATTGGTTGGGGGCGGGGAGCTACTTTGGGACGTTCGTGCATCCGTATGAGAATCTGTTTATGAAGAGTCATCGCAAGATTGAGGATACGGTGCTGGATAATTTGACGAAGTGGCATGATGGGTGGGGGTATGAGAGTTATGATGTTTGTTTTTAGAGGGGGTGGGGGAAGGGGGAGGAAGTAATTATTGATGTTTGTGGGATTGGCGTTTTGGAAGGAGCGGCATGTGTGTGGTGGTGGCTGAGGATGGGGGAGGATTGTTTCCCTCGCCGTTTGGGCTGTTTGGTTGTGTATGATGCATCTAATTTTTGATTTTTTTTTAGACGTGGGATATGGCTTCTTGAAGGGAAGGTGGTGGTGGTGGTAGAAAAAGAGTGTATTATGAGATATATATCGACTACCTAGCTATTGTGCTGATATTGACGATGTATGGATATAGTTACAACTTCCTTAACCCCAGCCCCTTTCCTCCATCACCCCACCACAAGTCCATCACCACGCTCCCCCTAACCCCTATCCACCAAAACCACAACACACAGACTCTCATCACGTGAACCCCGTAATAGGGTGTTTCAGGGCCCTTTCCGTCTTAGCGCGAGTATTATTTTTGGCCAGGAACGGGTTTTTATAGATTCTTCAATTTAATTTTGGTTCAAAATTGGGGAACTTGCCAAGGCATCTCTGGCGATTGGGATGGGGGCGCATGGCGTAACTGCTCCGATTCCTTACGGGGAACTTCATGGATACGCGGCTGGTGTACGTGGCGGACATATGAATGGGGGGTCGAGGGGTTGTACACTTCCTTGGTTGAGAAAAAAAACAAAACATGACTTTTTGCTCTGTTGTGACGAAAGTACATGTACATCCCCCAATTAGAGAAAATATACAAATATACAAAATATACAATTCCCTAATCCCCAATTAAATTCCCAATTTCCCCAATTAATTCACCCATTCTCCCGCCCCCCCCCCCAAATCCCCCCCCCAAATCCCCCCCATTTCTTCCAAATCCAGCCCCAAAACACCCCAATCCGTCCCACCGATCCCCCATCCGTCCCCCCTTCCCCATCCCCCAAAATACCCCCCCAATCCCCAAAAAACTCTCGCAGCCTCACCCCCTAAGGCACCCGCGCATCCCCCCCCCCCAATCCATCCATCCCCCCCAGCCCAAGGAAATCCGCAGTAACCCTGTCCGTCTCGCGCCAACCATGCACCACTATGCACAACTGGTCCAGCGACCACTTCACCATAATCCCCCCGACCTCTCCTCGACCTCCGACCTCAATGTGGCCCTAGCCACCAGCAACACCACAGCCCGCGATGGACATCTCGCAAACCTCGCCTGCAGGCCCGCGATGGTCCCTCGGCGCGATGCGCTCGGGGATCGCGGAGAGATTTGGGGCTGTAAAGCGCTTGCCTATGCTGTTATGGGGACATACGTCGCGGCGCATTCGCGTGCTTGCTGCTATGGCTGTTTTTGTGTGAGTCCCCCCCTCCTCTCCTCACAATCGAAGAACTTGCAGAAAGAAAAAAATATGATAGCAAAACCAAAAACTAACTTGTCTTCCCAGCCTCATAACCCTCACCCACTGGCGCCCCTCCACCCCCCCCATCCCCAAAGTCATCCTCTCCTACCCCCCCGACGCCGCCTTCTCCGCCCCCTCCCCCGGGGGCAACTCCCCCTTCAACGCCTCGCGCGTTGGTCTGCTCATCGAAAACCGCCCAAACCCCATCCTCGCCCCCCTAATGCTACACTTCATGACCGTCGTCCCCCCCGAATGGCGATTCCGCTTCATGGGCTCCCCCAAGTCCGTGGCGTCGATAAACCAATCCCACGCCATACGCGAGCAGGTGCGCATCGGGAAATTGGATCTCACGCTGATTCCCGAGAATATGACGACGAGTAGCCAGGAGGAGATCTCGGTGTTCCTGACGACGCTGTGGGTATACGAGCAGTTGCTGCGACCAGCGGAACATCTCCTAGTCTTCCAGACAGACAGCATGCTCTGCGCCAACGCCCGCCAATCCATCAACGAATGGCTCGACTTCGACTGGGTCGGCGCCCCCTGGCACCCCGACGGCAAGTGGGGCGGCAACGGGGGCCTCTCCCTCCGCCGCGTCGCGCCCATCATCGAGATCCTCAAACACCAAGTTCGCGGCCACAGAGGCGGCCCCGAAGACGTCTGGCTCTCCGAGCGGCTCTCCAATCGTCCCGGCGCCAAGATGGCCAACGGCTCCTTATCCCTGACATTCAGCGGGGAAATGCACACGGGGCGGCCTGAACACGTTCGTCCTTCCGATCTCCAGATCCCGGAGGAAGACAGGGAGAAGAGACCCGCGGGGGGGGGGATAGATAGTGATGCCACCGCTGCGGAGGGGCAGGATGTAGATTGGTGGCGTGAGGGGTTCTATGAGCCGATGGGGTATCATACGGGTAATAATGGGCGCACGCTGCATCCGCAGATCTGGGGGACGGTGGAGATGAGGAGGCATATTTGGGATTATTGCCCGGAGGTGAAGATGATTTTTGAGATGGATGCGGCCGAGTACGTGCCGGGGACGTGTCATGCGGATTGGAGGAGGGGGTTGGAGGGGGAGGGGATGGGGGTGAGTGAGGCGGGGTGGATGGAGGGGATGAGTAGGAGGGGGGAGGGGGAGGAGGGGTTGAAGAGACGGTGGGACCCCCAGGATGTGGATGAGGAGGGGCATCCTTATTTACCGCTTAACCTTGTGCCGTGGTGAACATCATTCACCACCTCCTTCCTACCTCCACCAACCTCACCAACCTCACCACCACACACCCTCACCCACACGACCCAACAATCTCCAAAACGGAGTCGAGCCTCGGCGTTCTCGGCAGGCGTTTTATACGGTCCAAGCCCCCTTTCTGTGTTTATTTACCATGTACATCATCTACACACCTAGATTATCGGCCCCATCTACGCGTCCATAACGCTCTACATCCCCACCAGCTCGCAGCAGCCGGTTGCTTGCGGTTGGTAGCTAGCGGATTATGAAATGATTTATGTTTGTTGATCTGTTGGGTTTTGTGGTAGTTGGTTGGGTTTGTGACATTTGTTGGGCTGTGGTGATATCTGCCGAGGGTTTGATAACGGCAGGATTAAGAATGTGTGTATGTAGCAAGATACACATCCTCGTTTCATGATACATATAGATGTGCCTGCGGGCATTTCGGGGGTTAGTAGGACAGAGGTATTATCAACTTCCGCAGCTGCCTATGTGAGGGTGTGTGTTATGGGCCGGTTTGGGGTACTGAACATGACGAGAGCGAGGTAACTTATAACGTGGCCATCCATATATATATACCTGGCCTGCTCACCGCAGCGATGATACCTGAGTCGAGATAACTCATATTCTATCAGCCTCTTCAATCATATCCCATCCCATCACACTTCAAACCACAGTTTTTGAGCTTATAAGTAAAAATTTCCCTATCCTATCCTACTCTCTCCCCATTTCCATCCTCATCCCCCAACCCCCCATCGTCTATAATACACTCTTCTCTCCCCCCTTCCCCATCTCCCCCACCAAGCAAAAAGAGGAAAAAGACGTTTTACACAAAAAAAAAACAGCCGAAACAAAAGTAAAAATCGATATATAAAAACGAAGAGAATCAATAATCTCCCCATCGATCAACCCCCATTCTAGGACCGTTTCCCCGCACGGTTTGTCACCTAACGCCTGTTTATGAACGACAAACATATAGAAAGATGATGATAAAAAAAGAATTATAAACGTGGTAGAATTATGGATAGCTGGGTGTGATAAAAGAACACGACACCGCTGCTCGAACTCGTTAGATCAGTGGTGGTTGTGGTGGTGTTTTTGCATGGTTCTTGGCGAAAGAAGGGCGTTTAGGCCTTGTTGCTGGAGCCCATGGCGGCGGCAGCTTTGTGCTTGATCATTACGACGGAGTATCTGACTTATGTTAGGGCCTGATCCACGCGGTTTGTAGCGAGTAGGAAACGGGGAAGAAGGTAACTTACGAAACAATCCCACCAATGGCAACCAAAACACCCAACACACTCCTATCCCCCACCGCGCGCCCCGAAGTCATCCACCCCAGCGCCACAATCGAGCAAGTCTTAAGATGCCCAACAACCGTCGACGAAACCGGCCCCGTCTGGGCGATAATGAAGAACTGGCTCATATTGATCAACGACGCGAATCCACCGCTTAGCAGGATCATCATCCAGCGGTTCAGCGGCACCTCGGTCCAGACGGGGAAGGTGTCGATGAAGGGGATTGCGTAGAGGAGCATGAATGAGGAGACTGGGGCCTGGTTGAAGAGGAGCTGCATGGGGTTCATCTGCAGCTTCTTGCAGTAGGAAGCGATCCACACGGTGTACAGGGACGACGCGAAGATGCCGCTGAAGGCGAAGAAGACGCCGATGCTGGAGGTGGTCTTGACCTTCTCATCGGCGGTGGGGAGGGAGTCGTAGTACGACGTCATGCCGACACCCAGGCAGGCGGGGATCAGGGCGTAGATTGCGTTGCGAGGGAGCGTCGCGCGGTAGAGGACGAAGTTCATGAGCGCCACGGTGGGGGTGAGCAGGATGCGGGCGATTTGGTAGAATGTGACGGTGGAGAAGGCCAGGGAGAGGTTGGGCAGGATGACGTTCAAGGACATGGCGACGGCGAGGGGGATAATCTCCTTGATGGCCACGCGGCGCGGGACGAACATGGCGAAGCGCGGGCGCGAGAGGGTGAACAGCGTGAGCCAGGTGACAAAGAAGTGGAAGGAGGCGAAGGTGAGCTGGGCGAGCTTGAGGGAGGGGTCGGAGAAGATGGCTTTGTTGGTGAAGACCTGCGTGGTGGCATTGTTAGCTTTGTGTTGGTTGCTCTTTTGCGATTTTGGGGGATCAATTGCGGGCCGTTGGGACTGTGAGACGGAGGGGTAAATACGTACAATTCCAATCGTAGCCAAGGTGTTGACAACCATCCATATCACAGCCGCTCTCGTGCTGCTCTTCTCAGGCGCCTGCTGCTGCTGGCTCGCGGTGGGCAGCAGCTCGGCTCTCTCGATGTCGGTGGCCCCCTCCAGGTCCTCCTCCATGGGCTTGACCCTGACGACGCTGCCGGCCGGGCTGCGTCCGCCGTTCTTCTCGTCACCGAAGCGCTCGGCCTCTGACGAGCTCGTCCGGTCCGCCATATCGCGCTTTTTGTTGGGGAGGAGTGGGATCGAAGATGCGTTGTTTTTTTAGGGAGAGCGAGCGAGCGGTTGGTGAGCGGATGGCGGGCGTGTTGAGGCGATACGATCTGGCGTGTATCGTTGTTGGGAAATAAAACTAAGGGGGGAAAACGACGACAAGATGAAAGGGCTGGGATAATGAAGGTTTTGGTGGTTATTGGTGGTTATTGGTGTAGTAATTCCAACAGATTACTATGGGGGGGTGGCGGGCGAGAAGGAGAGGACAAAAGTTGGGGTGGCCAGACCGAACACGGTAACTGATGGAAGTAATGAAATTGGGTGGCACCGCCAAGAGATTTGGGTATAGGGAATAGAGTGTACTCTTGGTCTGCCGTAGTGGATACACCACTAGATACACCAGATACACTAGATACACCACTAGATACACCACTAGATACACCAGATACACCACTAGATACACCACTACCACCAGCTATCTCACACCATGCCAGCATCCACATTACTCACGTGGCTAGTAGTGGACTGCATCGAGACTTGCTTTGAGACTCGTACTGCCCTCTGTAACCGGCCCTTTTTTATTTTTGTCGCGGGTTGGAGTTGGCCTGACAATCAGTGGTCAACCAGTGGTGGTGGTGGTGGTTGAGCCAGTGGTGGTTGAGCCAGTGGTGGTTGAGCCAGTGGTGGTGGTGGTGGTGGTTGACCCAGTGGTGGTGGTGGTGGTGGTGGTGGTGGTTGACCCAGTGGTGGTGGTGGTGGTGGTGGTGGTGGTGGTAGTAGTGGTGGTGGTGGTAGTGGTGGTTGAGCCAGTGGTGGTTGTAGTGGTGGTGGTTGAGCCAGTGGTGGTTGTAGTGGTTGGTGGTGGTGGTGGTGGTGGTGGTGGTGGTGGTTGTAGTGGTTGGTGGTGGTGGTGGTGGTGGTGGTGGTGGTGGTGGTTGACCCACTGCTGGTAGTGGTGGTGATGACCCAGTGGTGTTTGACCCATGGTGGTAGTGGTGGTACTGGTTGACTCAGTGCTACTGGGTCAACCAGTGCTACTGGGACAGCCCATCCTACTGCAAACTGCTGAAAATCACCCCAACCCCCCTCAGCCACTCACACAAAATCAACCCCCTCAGCTCCCTCAGCCACTCACACAAAATCAACCCCCCTCAGCCACTCCACACCAAAATCAACCCCCCCCACCCCTCTTCACCGTTCCCTGTGCGTCTATTCGCAATTCCCACCAAAACCCACATTTACACACCACCTTCCTGTCCTTCCTCTACTCCCCTCTCCTCCCCTCTCCTCTCCTCTCTTCCTATTCCTCATCTGGCCCGCATATATATACACAATATCCTCACTGCTCATCTACGACTCGACTCTCCCTCTCTCCTAGCTATCTTCATCATGCCTAGCCCACCTACATACTCCAGGACTGCCTCCTGTAAGTTTGATCACCAGATTGTTTACCCCCCTCTCCTTCTTTTGCCCCCCCCCCCCCCCCCAACCACCCGCCCCCTCCGCCCACGAAACTATTTCGAGGGAATTGCATGTGCGCCGTGTCGTTACAATATTACAGTGCTGACCTGATCGTTGCTGCAGCTGCCGCGGGCGAGAACCCTTTCCTTGAGGACCTCCCCGTCTGGAAGAGGGCGCCTGTTCTCATCGGTTCGACCAAGTTCGAGCCGCTCCCAGATGTCAAGAATATCATGATCACTGGTGGCGCTGGCTTCATGTAAGATGAACCCACAATCTCGTTACTTTCAACACGGCCCCCTACCCCTCCCCTCTCCTCCCTCCCCCACCAGAACATGGGAAAGAGACCCCCAAGCTAATATTTCACTTTCTTCAGCGCATGCTGGTTGGTACGACACTTGACCATCACATACCCCGAGGCATACAACATTGTCTCCTTCGACAAGCTCGACTACTGCGCTTCGCTCAACAACACCCGCGCCCTCAATGACAAGAGGAACTTCTCCTTCTACCAGGGCGACATCACCAACCCCTCCGAGGTGATGGACTGCCTCGAGCGCCACAACATCGACACCATCTTCCACTTCGCCGCGCAGTCGCACGTCGACCTGAGCTTCGGCAACTCGTACGGGTTCACCCACACCAACGTCTACGGCACCCACGTGCTGCTCGAGTCGGCCAAAAAGGTTGGCATCAAGCGCTTCATCCACATCTCCACCGATGAGGTCTACGGTGAGGTTGAGGACGAGGATGACGACCTCCTCGAGACTAGCATCCTCGCCCCCACCAACCCCTACGCCGCCTCCAAGGCCGCCGCTGAGATGTTGGTCCACTCTTACCAGAAGAGCTTCAAGCTCCCCGTCATCATCGTCCGCAGCAACAACGTCTACGGCCCCCACCAGTTCCCCGAGAGTACGTCCCCCCTCCCCCCGCAATTTCCTCGCACACCCCACTAACACCCCCCTTAGAGGTCATCCCCAAATTCACCTGCCTCCTGAACCGCGGCGAGCCCGTCGTCCTCCACGGCGACGGCTCCCCAACCCGCCGCTACCTGTTCGCCGGCGACGCCGCCGACGCCTTTGACACCATCCTTCACAAGGGCCACATCGGTCAGATCTACAACGTCGGTTCCTACGACGAGATCTCCAACCTGTCCCTCTGCTCCAAGCTCCTCGCCTACCTCGAGATCCCGCACAAGACCCAGGAGGAGCTGCACAAGTGGATCAAGCACACGCACGACCGCCCCTTCAACGACCGCCGCTACGCCGTCGACGGCACGAAGCTGCGTAACCTCGGCTGGGACCAGAAGACCTCGTTCGAGAAGGGCGTGGGTATCACCGTGCAGTGGTACAAGGCGTTTGGTGAGGAGTGGTGGGGCGATATCACCAAGGTCTTGACGCCGTTCCCGGAGGTCGAGAACAAGAAGGTCATTGCCGCGAGGGATGTTGTTGTGGATAACTTGGAGGGCGATATGGTCGTTGACAAGAACGATGATATGACCCTCAAGCAGACCAACGGCGCCAAGGCCTAGATTCTTCAAATAATCTAGACCCCCCCCGGCTCCCCGTTCGGGCGGTCGGGCTCCGCGGTCTTTCTCGCGTTCTATGCAGTTTTGCTTTCTGGGAACGGGGATGATGCGGGCGCGCTGCGTGTGCTGTTTTTGCATTTTGTTGTGAAAGCGATGGGAGAAGCATAGGTAGTTGGTTTTCTATGTCCCTTCCCCCCCGTTGGCACCAACATACATTCGAGAGGATTAGACGGAGAGAGTTGAGAGTCAGGCAAGGACAGGATAAAAAGGGCCCTTATTTTACAGATTGTGGGAGGAATAAAAGACATAGAATCTTTTGATTTACTTTTTTGTTTTGCAAAAATGGGGGGGGGGGGTGCGGATCTGAGGATTTGTCGTTTCTTCCTTATTTTATCGTATTTTTTTTACGCTTTTTGACGCCTTTCTTGCTTGCCCTGTTTGATGTTCTGTTTTCGAGTCGTCGTGTTTCCCATGCCCTCTATAAATAGTAGTAGAACTTGGACCTGGGGGGCTTCGCCGGTTTGTATTTTTTTGGTCTTTGCGTGGCAAGCTTGAGAGTGGAGGGGCAATAATACATGGGTCTTATTTTAGAAACTGTTCGTTTGAGTTTAATGTGGATTGTGATAGGTTTAAGTGATGTGTAATTTAAGTGATGTGGAATTTAAGTGATGATGTGAGAGTAGTGTAGCAGATAAGTACAGCCGCAGCCTTACCCTCGAGCTGGACTCCTCCCTCTCCTTCACACCATAGAGATGCAAGTATATCACTTAAGTCTTGATACTTCCACATACATCTATCACTGCACGGCATAGCAAAACATATCCCGTAGTTTATATGCAACTCCCGCTGTATATAGCACGCATATACACCCCCATTGCCAACGCAACTGCCGTACACCCCCCCCCCCCCCCCCCCGAGCCACCGTGACGTATCTGGCCGGCCTGCCTCTTACAAACAAAAAAGGAAAAGAAGAGAGTGTATATCCATCACCGCACCGCGGTTCCCATTCCCATTCCCCCAACGCCAAACCCCCCTCAAGAAAAACTAACAAACTTCGGATCCCTCGGCCTCCCATCCCTCCCAATCCCCTCCCTCTCCAACATCCGTTCCATATACACCCGTCTCGCCTCATCGAACCCCATCCCCCTCCTCCACCAGTTCCCCTTCATAATCCCCATTATCTCTGTCTTAGCGGCGTCGTCGAGACCAGACCGAGAGTCGAGAGAGGAGATGTTGGCGCTGAGGTCGAAGGTCGAGCTGCTGAGGCCGGATTCGGCGTCGGAGAGGAAGGAGGGGAGGGGGATGTAGCGGGGGGTCGGGAGGGAGGTGAGGTGGGGGAGCCAGTGTGTGCGGGTTAAGTAGGCTGCTGGGAGGGAAGAGTTAGTGAGGGCTGGGGAGGGGGGGGGGGGGATGGGAGGGGAAAAGGGGGACGAACCTGTGGCGATGGCGAGGAAGAGGAAGAGTGTTGAGTAGAGGATGTAGTAACCCATTGTCGTGAATGCGCAGTCGCGGCTGATCGGTCAGAGTTGTAGTTTATATGACCGTCGTCGGCGGGCTCGGTCGAAGCGGTTTGCTATGAAGCAATGTAGTTGTAGTGGTATGAGTACAAAAGAAAGCAATAAGCAGAGGTATTCGCCCTCGTCGTCCCGATTATAATGGCATCAGAAAACTAGCTGGTGGGCATGAAGGAATGGCGCTTCAGTCAGAACTGCAAGACGCGAACGATATGCGCCTGAATCTGGTAGATGCGTAACCCACGTATCCCATAATCCCCCCACGTGACTACTGCTTGCGTCATCAATTCGGGGCGCAGGGATTGCATATTCTCGCTTGTAGCGGGCTAGCGGCAAAACGTTACACCGATTGGCTGGGAACGCACACAGTAGAATTCAATATTGATATTCGGGAAGTGAGGAAAGCGGTACTGTGCTGAATGACCCTTCTGAAGTTCTTGAATCTTTGAATCCGCAATCGACCAATTCGAAAATCACCGCCAACCATGTCTTCCGCATACTACTCGCCGCTCGTCAGCGATGACTTGATCTGGGAGGTTGCTCGTATGTTTTCCCCTCTCGAATGTTCCTGGGGGAGGGGGGAGGTGCTGTTCGTTGGGAGGAGGGAGGGGGATTGACGGACAGGACAGGACATGATGGGATGGGGATGAATATGTTGAATGGAGGCTGATTATCTGGGAACAGGCAGCCAGAACGCGTACATCGTCAAGCGCAAGGGTGTCCAGTTCTCGCGCGACCCGCTGAACTTGGTTAACCTTCACTCCCGCAAGGTACTGAGTCGCTCCCACAGCTGCGGCTTCAAGAAGGAAGAAGAGATGCTAACTACTGTTTCTAGCACGGCGGCTTTGTCAACACCAAGGTATGCGCGGATACACACCACTTCTCACGACGACGACGGAAGAGGAGATACGGGGAGATACAGGATGGGATGACGTTTACTGATGCGAAATACAGGCTGTCGGCATCGCACCCGCTGAGGGCGATAAGGGAGGCGTGACCCTCATCACCAAGAAGGCCGGAAACGCACAGCGCCCTGCTGCTGCCACCTCGACCACCATCAACGGCAGCAAGTCCAACCGCAAGTGAGTATCCCGTCCCTCCCCCCCCCCACACCAACTTCCCGGCACACCGAACAGCGGCTAATGACTAAACAGGACCTACAAGAGCGTCGCCAACACCGTCGCCAAGGGCTACAGAGGTGACCTCCGCGCCGCCGCCGTGTCCCGCGCCTCCGCTATTCGCAAGTCGCAGCGTGGCGTCAAGGAGCGCCCAGCGAGCGCACCGCGTGGCGTCAAGGCCAAGAAGGCCGCCGCTGCTGCTGAGGAGAACTAGAGGAGTTGGCCCATGAAGTGATGTCTACTGGGAGCGGGGATTGGGGGGTTTCGTAGGGAAACTCTATCAAATGCAAAGAATTTGTTCTCCTGGACGGGATTGTTTTTGTAGGGAATCTCGTGTCATGGCTTTTGAACTGTGTAGGGGAGCGACCGATTGCATTTTCTGCCGGGGTTTTGTCATGGTTATGACGCCTTGGAGGGGTGGGATAGGGATGGCTAGCTCGGCTGTAGCGAAATATGAGCAACTGGAATGAAATCCAGGCGTTTGCTAAGATTGCTTTGCTTGCTGTGATGGTGGAGGTGAATGCGTGTATGCTATGATGCTGCGAGGTATGGGATACTCGTAAATAGTTAGCCTTCCTCCTTCTCCCATGTGAACTGCCGAACTGGGTAGGCGAAAGCCACCGTCAACCAACCAGCACCGTCCGATCCCGCCCGAGAGAGCCGCGGAACATGACGTGAGGCTATTTATGCGAGGATGAGTGCGGAATGTGATTCTAAAAAGGCATCTAGTGAGAACTGTTCGATTTATATATGAATGCTCTTGGTTCCCACATCCCGAGCGCGGATTTCTGGCTAACTCATTACGTTATTCCTACTCCAAACGTCAACTCGCTAAACAGGTAAGGGAAACCCGCGCGCTTGGCATTGGGGATGGGAAATGCGGAAGTGTTGGGAACAGCTTGACTTTATCCATATTTGACACTCGAAATTTCTGACACCTTTTCGATCCATATTTAGATTTTAAGAAAGATCTATTGCATACGCAAATCTTGTACGTGCTGGCCCTTGGTGGATGGAGAGCTCTTGACAATGTGCATCGACTGACAAATTACCCCGCCATCAGATTCATCTCCGCACACTCAATCAACCAAAGCCGCAATCATGGTTAAAGCTGGTAAGCCACGAAATAATACCCTGAGCTGCTGAGGAACATATCGCTAACGCTCCTGAAGTTGTCGCCGGTGCCTCTGGTGGAATTGGACAGGTATTACGACGTTAACCAGTCGTTGAGTGTCAATCGCTGACACTGACCCATGTAGCCGCTGTCCCTCCTCCTCAAGAACAGCCCGCTCATCGATGAGCTCGCTCTCTACGATGTTGTCAACACCCCAGGTGTTGCTGCCGATCTCTCCCACATCTCCTCCAAGGCCGTACGTCGAAGAATCGGAGCCCTTACTATACAAACGCTCACAAATATCACAGAAGATCACTGGCTACCTGCCAAAGGATGACGGCGCGAAGCTCGCCTTCCAGAACGCCGACATCATTGTCATCCCCGCTGGCATTCCCCGTAAGCACCATGCTGACATGAAACTCTAGAGCTAGGCTAACATACCCCAAGGCAAGCCAGGAATGACCCGTGATGATCTCTTCAACATCAACGCCGGTATCGTCAAGGGCCTCATCGAGGTCATCGCCGATGTCGCCCCCAACGCCTTCATCCTCATCATCTCCAACCCCGTCAACTCCACCGTCCCCATCGCCGCCGAGGTCCTGAAGGCCAAGGGCGTCTTCAACCCCCAGCGCCTGTTCGGTGTCACCACCCTCGACGTCGTCCGCGCCGAGACCTTCGTCGCCGAGATCACCGGCGCCAAGAACCCCCAGGAGACCACCATCCCCGTCATTGGCGGCCACTCCGGAGAGACCATCGTTCCCCTCTTTAGCCAGGCCAAGCCCTCCGTCTCCATCCCAGCCGACAAGCTCGCCGCCCTCGTCAACCGCGTCCAGTTCGGTGGTGATGAGGTCGTCAAGGCTAAGGACGGTGCTGGCTCTGCCACCCTCTCCATGGCCTACGCCGGTTTCCGCTTCGCTGAGAAGGTCCTCCGCGCCGCTGCTGGCGAGAAGAACATCGTTGAGCCAACCTTTGTCAACCTTGCTGTCCCAGGTGGTGATGCCGTCAAGGCCGCCGTCGGTGGTCTCGAGTTCTTCTCAGTCCCCGTTGAGCTTGGCCCCAACGGTGCCGAGAAGGCCCAGAACCCCCTCGCCTCGCTGGACGACAACGAGAAGACCCTCCTTAAGGCTGCTGTTGAGGGCCTTAAGGGTAACATCGAGAAGGGTGTTACCTTCGCCCACAACCCTCCCCAAAAGTGATTAATCCCCCGCCCCATCTCTCAGTTGTCGTTTTGTGGGTTAGAATCATCACTAATTGGCCTTTGCGTAGATAGATTGTGATTTGATCCTCTTAGCCGCCTTTTGGCCAAGATACACGACCAGTTTTAACGATTTTGAGGGAATATAAAAAGTAAACATGACGAGACCTATGTTACAAGTTCACATGAATATGTAGCTCTTGGTGAATAGCGTAAAATATGTCTCATTCCAGGCAATGTGATATGCCATTCCCAACGCCAGTGTATGCCGCTAAACCGCTGTGACTAAAAACCAACCTCCGAAGCAATCTACTCAGCCTGCGTGCCCTCCTCCATAGTATATTATCCCATATAGTCTACCCTCCCTAGTCCCCACCGTTCCCTCGCCGGGATATGCACATGCTGCTATCCATCAAGGATTCACAGTAATAGACTTAATCTGGAACGTCGCCCCCGGCAGCTCCGACGTCTCCGCCTGCACCGTCGCATTTATCCCCATACTCGCCAGCGCGCCTCTAATAACGCCGCACGGAAACCACAGGAACTATAATCGAGGTATGTAGGTCAGCCAAGCCGGTCTTTGTCTCGCCATCGGGGTGTGGGTGTGAGGGAGGGATTCCATACCGGTTGCGCGCGCACAACAGCCTGTCCACCAGCCTCAGTGCTCATCCGCGAGAACGGCCGGAACGCATTATCAGTCAGGACGTAAACCCCGCGGTGGTTAGTCTTAAGGTTATCGATCTGCTTTCGAAAGACCAGCATCCACAGGTCCTTGCAAAGGAACTTAATCACATCAAGCGTATCCGTAAACCGTGGCCTATCAATCGAGAACCTGCACCTCACTCATTAGCCCATGCACACTCCCGTCACCTCGCCTTTGTCTAGCTCCAGCACCACGACTCGACCGAGACAGAACTGGAAGGGGACCACCTACCGCTCAACCATGCCCTGCCCAACGCGATACCCCAGCGTCTCGAGCCTGTAAAACACCGCATCCCGCTCCTCATCCTCATCCATCCTGCTCTCCCTCAGTGCGCCCGTCCCCGCCGTCCCCGCGGCCTTGGTGCTCACGCTGCCCCCCTTCGCAGCAGCGAGCGCCTTGACCTCGTCGTCGGGGAGCCCGGCGACGCCGTCGCGCTTGACGCTGTCGATGTCGTGGGCGAGGCGGTAGGCGAGCGGGACGAGCTCGATGAGGAGGAAGTCGAGGCAGGAGCTGCTGAGGAAGGTGGCGGAGGGGTCGCCGTTGTAGGGCGGTTGCGGGCTTTCGAAGGACATGGTACGTGTGATTGGGATGTGGGTTATCGCATGGGGTAGCTTTTGGTTTGTATGGGGAGTGGAGGGGTGGTGGGAAGGGTTGATGGGGTGTGGTTGTGGTGGATGGGAAGGGTGTAAGGCTGTGGATATTTGGAGGTTCCGAATTGGCGGCCGGAGCCTCGCCGGGCACCACCGAGATGGTCAATTTATATCGCGCGTCAAGGGGCAAATAGGGGATATTTTAATCACAGCAGTCTACATGTGCATATGGTGGATCATATGTTTTGATATTTAGCAATACGAGAAATTATGATGGGCTCTCTAGCTAGCAACAATGCGAGTTGCAAAGACGACCCGAATCGTCGAACGTGGTGCCTCAAAACGCCCCTCCCAACCCAAACCGCCATCTCGTGCGTCTCCTCCAGAACGCCCTTGGGAAATCCGTCCATCGCTAATGCTATGTAGTCATTAATGTACACGCCAATGATAAAATGAGAGAAATATCGAATCCACCACAGTCCCCATGAACTGCCTTATATCCACAAACCAACCAACGTCACAGGTAAAAGTAAATATTCTTAAGACCGGCCTGGCATGGCATAGTGTGGAACTTGCGTTGTGCCAAAGGCTGCTGTACTCTGTCGCTTCGGTGCCCTTGAAATAGGCTCCTCGTCTTCGTCGCTCAGCGTGAGGTCAATGACTGACGATGCGGGACGCTTGTTGGACGGCCTGGGGGCGCTCATTGCAGTGGATGGCTCCCGGGAGTATAGTGAAGTTGGAGGAGTGCTTGCAGAGGTGCCTGGAGTGCTGTGGTTTCTGATAGATAGGAATTTGGAGTCCTTGATTTCGATAATATCGTCATCGCCTTCGATATCAAAGTCCTGGTCTCCTTTTGACGGTGACGGGGTTCTGGTGTTGGTGGACCATTTTCCATCGGGTTCTATGGTGACCTGGTCTACCGATCGCGGAGTATTTGTTATAATATCCCTCACATAACTATACATACGTTAGTCGGGGAGCAGTTCAAGGAAGTGAAATTCATACTCATCGACGGCCAGAGTCTCAAAAGTGGCTGAATTGTTGCAAATCGGGCACAGCCAAGTCGGCCCCTGCTCTTGAAGTTGCAAGTATGACGTTGCATCAAAACATTGATTATGCCGGCATGCTGTTGAGCGGCATGGCAAGTCCATTCTCAGAGTGGACAAGGGGCACTTCAGAGAGAGAACTGTAGATGTAGCCACAATGTCTGGATCCGCTGCTTTGGAGACCACTGATGGGCATGACGTTAGTCTCTGTATGATAAGATACAGACGTCACTTGGGACTCACTTTCGTTAATAACTGACTCTTTAGACAGCTTCTTTCCATTTTCGATTCTCTTCCGCAGTTCCTCAACTGGGACGGTTTTGACGACGTAAACCATGAAGTAGAAAGTCTGGGTTGGATGTTAGCAATGAGATGTCGCCGAGTTGGCGTAAATAATAGCATGAAGTTGGACAGTGGTTGGAGTCGCCTGGATAGCTGGCTCTAGAAGGGTCGGAACTTGCCTTTGTCGTCAATGCATAAGTCATTTCAATCTTGTTCGGGTATTGTGATGGCTTCAGTCGAAGGTATGGTGTCAAGTCAACAGGTCGTGTAGATCCTGGCTTGTTCTTCAACCCTCGCAGATTTGCCTTGACATCCCCGCCATTAACCTTAATCTCAGACTGATGCGGAAATGAGATATCTTGTCTCATGGTCCCCGGGTCGCTCAAACAGAACGCCATGACTCTCAAGGACTTGTCTGTTTCTATTTGTCCTAGAATCGGCCAGTTTTGTGCTTGCGCAGATATCTCGACGTTATTTCTATGGGCTGCCATAGCTTTCAGATTAGAATTTCATCAGCATCGTATGCTATTCATGGGGACCGATCCAAACTAACCCGGGCACGTCTTCAGGTCGCCGATCTGCCGCTGGAGGGTGTAGAACGGGCTCGGCTTGAAATCGATAACTGTGCACTCAATCAGCACACCCCAATTTCCAAAGCGGTGGGACCACCAACCTGGCTGTGCGCCCATACCATTTGCCATGTATCTAGGTGCCTGTATTCCAGGCGCTGGTCGTGGCGATGGAGCTGCAGGTGAGGACGAGTACGGTGCGTAACCACCATTCGGGTATAAGGCGTCCTCCGGATTAGAGAGCAAACTCTTGATGTTATTAAACTTTACAACGTTGCCTTCAGCAACATACTTTTCAATATCTAAATAGCGATAGTGTTAGCGCTAGTTGTAGGCGGGGGTTCAAGTAGATAGGTGGCGTGTATGAGAAGGAATGAAACGCCAACTGACTCTCTTGTATGCGCTGTTGCATGATGGCTTTAACAGCTCCAGCACAAGGAATCCTCTCCGACTTGCAAATAGCAGTGAGGTATTTGTTGAGCATGCGTGGGCCCTTCAGGATCCGGATGAGAGGGACCGGATCCAGATTCCCTCCACCCATCGAGGCCATGCTCAGATGTTGGTGAGGCTACCGGGATGAATGAGAATAATTTCCACCATCAAATCTTTGTCTGTAACATTTGAATCTTTAAAGGCGATACGAAAGCTCCGCTTGCTGCCCAGGGCAGAAGAAATAGGAATTGCTCAGTATGATGCGATTCCGGTAAGTGAAATTTGGCACGACCCCCTCGTTATCGCGATGCGACCGGGGGAAGGCGGTGGCAGAATCGAAGCGCCGCTAGGTAAAAGTTTATCGAAATGTGGGATGCGGGCGAGAATCTATGCAGGCTTGCATAAACTTCAAATCACTGTTAGCATCTCCTCAGATTGACCCCGAAAGAAAACTTACCACTATTTTTGCTGTCGAATCACCCTGTTTATATAAATCATGGCAAAAGGCGCTCGTGCAAGTTCGATCAAGGCGAACAACACCGCATTGAAGACCAAGGTTTTCGGCCCCGTTGAGACCGCCAGAACAGAGAGGTTGTCCGCAAAGTTGCTCGCATTGGCAGCAGCACCGCGCCCTTCCGCACAGAAAGATGTTACGATGGATGTAGAGGGTAAGTCGGCATCTCCTGCTGTCGAATTCAAACTAACCTCACCCGTAGATGCTGCCGCTCCAGCTCCTCTCAAAAGCGCTCTTAAAGTAACGAAGCAAGCCGACGGTAAGTCACCGCTACATTTACAACAATATATTTACTAATTTACTCCCTCAGATATGGAGGTCGATAAGGATACTACGCAAGCGCCAGCAAGCTCGAAACCCAGCAGCGGGCGCATCGAGAAGAAGAGAAGCGCACGCTCCAGATCGTCTGGTATCGTCTTCCCGAAGTACAAGAACGGCAAAAAGGTTGGCACGAAGAGCAGGAAGAAGTAGATCAATGTCAGAGGGATTTTGGATTTCATCGAGCATGGCGTAGGAAGGCTTTTGCAGGGCGAACAATGGCGTTATGTATATAGGATGGCATTCCCTTGGTAAGAGTTCTTAAAAATGTCCGCCGATTGCCAATCAGGAGCAACATAGTGGTTGGCTTGTGGGGATTAATCTTCCAAATTAAACAATTATATCAAGTACATTTCAGGCTCACTGTTATGATAATTTGATTTCTTTCGCAGTATGATTCCTGTAATAGGGCTTGGCTAGGGTTGATTGTAGACGTATTTAGTTAGTTGGGGACGGAAATTAAGGTTGTAGCGGGGACCCGATCCGCAACCTCGCGTCACAAAACTGAAATTCACGATCGAGAATCGTACACGAAAGCCAACATGTACCAACCCATGAGCTAACGTTGAAACGGCCGATAAAACTCCCATGGCTGATTTCTCAATCCCATGATCAAAGGAAGCTGCAGGACTCCAAATCATTCACAATGGCTCCGTCCAAATCGACAGTGATGCTCACGATAGCTAACCTGTTCATACCTATCGCCATATTAACATTTGCCAGCGGTTTCTTTCCATACAAGCCATTCCTTCCTGGATTAGCAGAGTATGAAGCCCTTGGGTTTGGGCTGGGCGCACCCCCCAAGGCGCCTTTCGACAAGGTCATATTCATGGTGGTCGATGCCCTCCGAAGGTATGTAATTAGGGGTGGCCCCCTTCAACTTCTACAGGAAGGATGCGTCTAATGTTTATAGTGACTTTGTATTCTCTGACGAGTCAGCCTTCACTTTCACTCAAAGGTACGTTCTGCTTAGACAGTCCAAATAACACTGGCTAACAGACACAGCTTGATCTCTAATGGCGCTGCGATGCCGTTTACTGCTCATGCAACATCCCCAACGATCACAATGCCGCGAGTCAAAGCAATCACAACTGGCTCTATCCCATCCTTTCTAGACGTCATATTGAACTTTGCCGAATCCGACACCACCTCCAGTCTCGCGGCGCAGGATACCTGGCTGGCTCAGATGAAAGCCAAAGGCTCTGGAAAGCTGATTATGTACGGAGACGATACGTGGTTGAAGCTATTCCCAGATACGTTTGATCGCGCGGATGGGACATCCAGCTTTTTTGTTGCGGTTAGTCATCTGAGAAAAAGATCTGGACATCAAATAGCTGAAATATATGATAGGATTTTACCGAAGTGGACAATAATGTGACTAGACATGTCCCTGAAGAATTGCGTAATGACGATTGGAATACAATGGTTCTTCACTATCTCGGAATGGATCATATTGGACATAAGGCAGGTCCACGAAGGTAGGGATCCATATCCTAGACATCAGGTTCGCCACTAACTGATGTAGCCCAAATATGTTGCCAAAGCAGAAGGAAATGGACGGACTTGTTCAACAGATGTATACTGCAATCGAGTCCCAAAAGCATCTTGCGAATACCCTTCTTATTATCTGTGGAGATCATGGAATGAATGATGCCGGAAACCACGGCGGCTCCGCGCCCGGAGAGACCTCCCCGGCACTGGTTTTTATGTCTCCAAAGCTCAAGAAGATTTCTGCCGGCCTCGAAAGCCCGATTGCTCCCAGTGATGAGTTTCAATTCTATGATACGATCGAGCAATCAGATATTGCACCGACACTGGCTGCGCTGTTAGGATTCCCAGTCCCGAGGAACAATTTGGGAAATTTCATTCGTAATTTCCTTCCCTTCTGGAGTTCAGGTATAATAACATCATGTTCATAAGGGACATTCCTTGCTAACTTTCCCCAGGGAATGACCAGCTGCATATTCTTCTCGCAAATGCAAAGCAGATCCTAAATGTTATTACTGCCGCCTATCCAGCGTCATTGTTCGAGGGAGACGGTCCACAGGATTGCCAGAACTTGTCGGATATCGAGAGACTCGGCTGCGATTGGAAACTTATTAGTGCCCAGCTTGAGGCCCGAAGCCACAAGAAGTCTGGGCATAATGATTCGTTACTTGAAGACCTTGTTAACGTCAGTCAACCGTCTGTTATGTAGACCACTTTGCTAACTGTCCATAGTGGTCAAGACACGGCCAAACTATCATGAGCAGTACGGCGAGCAACTATGACATGACCAAGCTATATGCTGGCCAGGCTATTGCCATGATATCAACCGTTCTAGCAGTTTTCACTGCAGCCCCAGTTCTTGGAAAGAGTCCACTGTTCGCACTAATTACGCTCTTATATTCGATAATGATGTTCGCAAGCAGCTATGTAGAGGAAGAGCACAATTTCTGGTACTGGGCAGCATCCGGATGGATCACGGTTCTAATCTTCAAGACGTGAGTTCCTCCTCCCCCTCTTAAACCCGGTAATTCCAACTAACAGCCGCAGGGCCAAGAGTTCATTAACCACTTCCTTCAGCTGCGTAGTTGTCCTCGCTGGCCTCCGCTTCACACGTCGCTGGAACCAGACCGGACAGAAATTCGCTGGAGAGCCGGATATCGCCCGCACTTTCCTCGCCGAGCACACCACGTTTCTATGGGCATTGGTTTTTGCCATGTACATGTGGAACTGCTACTCGCTCTCGTCGGCTGGCTTCCCGCATCTCCCGCGATCTATTGCAAGGGGCCTCGCGCAGTTCCTGGCTGTCATGGCCGCAGCGTTCAAGGTCGCGTTTACGCATGAAGATGCGCCTGAGCTGCTGGACTGGACCGCAAGTAAAGTCGCGGAGCTGACTACGGGGTTCTCACTAGTTACTAGGGCGAGGGGTATCTTCATCGGCATGGGCTTGGCTTTGGCACAGACTATTGGGGCAGAGTATTTGTCCGCGGTCCGCAGGCATCGTTTCAGTATGTTTAAGCTCCCCAGTGTCAAACTACACCCACTAATACTTCCACAGCCTCAACGCGCACGATTCACAATCTCCTCACTCTCTTGCTCATGACCCAATCCCGCGCCGCCAACATCCCGCTCCTCATGATCTTCTCCGCACAGTTCCACCTTCTCTTTAACCTAGACCTCAACCTCACCGAGGTCACCATCACCTCCCTCCTATTCCAATACATGTCCTTCTTCGCCTTCGGCGGCACCAACTCCATCTCCTCCGTCGACCTCTCCAGCGCCTACAACGGCGTCAGCGGCTACAACATCGTCGCCGTCGGTATCCTCACTTTCGTGAGCAACTGGACCGGGCCGATTTTCTGGACATCCGCCACGACGATGATGCTCCTGCGTCTCCGGGCAGGGGGCGAGAAGAACGTGTTCATGAAGTACATCGCGCTGCAGACCGTATTTGCAGCAACGGGATTGATGTTCATCATGGCCGCGTGCACGAAGCTGCGGACGCATCTGTTCATCTGGACGGTATTTTCGCCAAAGTACCTGTACAGCATGGCCTGGAGCATCGGGCAGCATATTGGGATGAATATTGGATTGGGAAGCCTCCTGTTCTGGCTGGGCGCTTATTAGATGGACAGGATCGGTGTAGATATTGGGTATTTGTGTTGGTACCTTCTTGTAGCGTCAGTTCTTCATTTGATATTAGATAATATAGCGCATTGTGTCGGTTTTCATATAAGGCCACTGAATAAATCATCGAATTCGTCGCCGCCCTTCTTCCGCTTCTTCTTTGGGGGCTTTGGTGTTGTGGTTTTGGTGCTTGTAGTAGTGACTGTCGTCTCCCAGACCTTCTTCCGTTTCTTTTCAGTTGTAGGTGCTGGTGATACAGCGTCATCGCTCTCTAAAGCTGCTGTTTCTGTAATGACTTTCTTCGAAGAAGCAGATACGCTTAACCCCTTCCTTCCACAAGACGGCGTGGCTTCGGCTTCCAGTAGATCATCCGCACCTTTCTTCCCTTTCTTCGCCGTCTTCAAGCTCTTTACCGTCTTATTCGCTGACCGTTCTAACTCCTCTCTGCTGATTGCCTCTCCAAAATCTTCAACTTCCAACACGTGACTGGAAGTAGTTTTCTCAACCTTGACTACCTCATTGATCTCTTCGTCTTCATCTTTGGGAAACGAGATGAGTTTATTCAGTCTCGCCAGACAGCCCATCAACATGAGCCCCAGGGAGGCATACTGGTTATCTGCCACCACAGTCGAGAAGGCCCTGTTCAGGAGTCAGAACCAATCCAAGAGTATCCCCGTCCGCTCCGGAATTCAAATTTTCCACGAGCCACCTTTCACCCTTCTGACTTCACTCCCATTTCCCCATCCATCAGGTAGTTCTAACTTACAGATAACACCTCGGCACAACCTCCTCCCTCAAAAACACAACCCGCTTCTCAATCTCAATCTTCTTCGCACGAAACGCCGCATCAGGGTTCTCAAGCGCTGTAATCAGCTTTCCCAGCTGCCTGCGCAGGATGGAGAATGAGGCCCACCACTTTGCGATGCGGTGCTGGTTCTTGTTGCGGTGGGCCGTGAGGTGAAGGAGATGCTGGATGGGAAGGAGGGATTCTGCGGTGCACCATGAGGGCAAGACGACGGGGGGTTGCTTTGGAGCCATCTAGGACGGCTTTTCTATACACGTTTTCAAATCGTCACGAGTGGCTGTCAGGCTCGTCTGGTTCTTGTCATGGGTTTTGATATTCATTTTTAGGTACGCCACACAGGCTTAACTTATCGCGAGCTTATCGCACAACGCTGTGTGGCGCCAAATTGTCCTCCTGCCAAGTGTCTTGGCCCACCGTTTCCACTACCGCGGCAGATGGTCCAGTATGATCCCGAGTTCTCCACGCGCTGACACTCTTCTTCTGTTCACGTTATGGGAGCACGTTAGCCATTCCATCTGTCTTCTGATTCTATTATGTTTCCAGTAGCTGGCTCGCTGCGCTGTCGCTCTCAAACTCACTACACTGTACACTACGGCGGAATACTCGGTATGATGTTGAAGATCATCACTGCCCCCTCACCGTCCCCGTCAATCTTTAATGCAACCTGCGTGGAATCATAACCCCTTCCTATTGGCAGACTGAGACATATTCCTCGCATAATGACCTTAACACCATCAGCCCACGTTGGCCACCCATTGGTTCGTCGTTTCTAATGATCGAAATAGGAATGTGACACTTTGCCGCCAGCCATCGCCAGCCTCCCCGCCCATATGATCGGAGCAGATCTACCGAGACGTTCCAGCAGTGTCAGTGAGTGGAGGGGAAAGCTTCCAGACATAGCGTTTACACATCGCAGCCCACGTGTGGCGACTTTCCCAATTATCACAACAACAGGACTGGCACAATGCATGCATGCCAAGGTGAAGATGCACAGAAGAAGCTGGATTTCCGAGCCAGAAGGAAATTAAACATAATGGCTTCAGGGTCGATGCAGCAATTCTCGAGAAAGGAAATTCTGGGAAGAGGCGAAAGGAAGGCTAGAACATATGGTAGGTAGGTAGGTGCTGAGCTATAGATCGTCACGTGCTATCATGAGTAAGACAGGAAGCCTCTCTCATACTGTATATTTTTTATAAAGAGCTCCTGATAGCCCTTCTCACTTCCCTCTTTTCGTTCTCCATCCACTCCTCTTCCTTTAACGTTCCAGAAGCCTCTCACCCCCACAAACCTTCATCATGCTTTTCACCTCTGTCATAACCCTCGCTCTCATCCCCCTCACCCTCGCGGTCCCCGCCCCTCTCGTCGCCCGCGCTCCCCCGAACATCCCCACCACCGCCGCCGCCAAGACCGCGCTCGCCGGCCTCACCGTCGCCGCTCAGGGCTCCCAAACTGGCTACTCCCGCGCTCTCTTCCCCCACTGGATCACCATCTCCGGCACCTGCAACACCCGCGAGACCGTCCTCAAGCGTGATGGCACCGGTGTCGTGACCGACAGTGCTTGCGCTTCCACCAGCGGCACCTGGCTCAGCCCTTACGATGGCGCCACCTGGACCGCTGCCAGCGACGTCGACATCGACCACTTGGTGCCCCTGAGCAATGCGTGGAAGTCTGGTGCTGCTTCGTGGACCACCCCCCAGAGACAGGGTTTCGCCAACGATCTCGTCAACCCCCAGCTGCTGGCTGTTACGGATACTGTCAACCAGGCCAAGGGCGACAAGGGACCTGAGGACTGGAAGCCATCTTTGAGTATGTTTTCTCATATTTCCTTTTTTTTTCGCGTGAAATAGCAGCCATACTAACGGATAATAGCCTCTTACCACTGCATCTACGCCAAGATGTGGGTCAAGGTCAAGAGCGTCTACGATCTTACCATCACCACTGCTGAGAAGGCTGCCTTGACCACTATGTTGGCCACGTGCTAGAGAGCCAACTTGTGGATGTATTGTAGAACTTCAGCGTTGGTAGCGATCTATAACGTAGAATAGTAGGGCCAAAAACAGTGATCTCAGAATGCATATCAGTTAATCTAGCTACTGTAATTATTTCTATATAGTCGAATACTCTGCCCTGAGCTAGTCTCAGAGGAGTGGTGCCAAGTATTGTCTGCTCAGTTGGGCGATACTGAGCTTGGCGCCTGGTTGGCATAGAATTGGCACTTGGCGGCCTGGGCGGCGTCGCCGCCCCGGATCTCGGGCACGGAGTGAGAATTCCACACGCCCCCTCACTCCTTGGCCGATACTCTAGCACTCCAGTCTTCTAATCGGAGCTGCTAGACAAAGGCGGCATGCTTTATGCCATTGAGCGGCTTGGTTAGGCCGTCGGCAGCCAGCTTGGTTGTTTCGGCTAGGCTTTCTTGATTGTCGCCTTCAATGACGACTAGGTCGAGGTCTTCGTCGTATTCAAGGCTTCGGAGTAGGCTTCGGAGCCAAAGAGCTTCTCTCGTGGAGTTAGATAGTCCGTAATATTCGGCTTCCGTGCTCGAGAGGGCGACTGTCTTTTGCCTGCCGGTCTTCCAAGTGATAACGCCCCTGTGTAGGAAGAATAGATATCTAGGAAGTGGATGATCTAGTATCAATGTCCGCGCCCTAAGTGCCGTAGTTGGATTTGATAAAAAGCAGCTTAGAAAGCAGACTACAAACGCCTATGTGCCGTAGTTGGATTTGATAAAAAGCGGCTTAGAAAGCAGACTACAAACGCAATATCAGGCTGGGTTTAGATCATGGCGTACATTAGCGATCTGATAATTGATTAGAATAGCTTAATGTCTTCTTCTAAGGCTTGTTCCTTGTTCGCCATCAGTATCTAGGTCCCGTTCGTTTCCATTAGAGTCGACTTTCCTGTTACTATCTCCATTCTGAAGACTTAGAGCACCTTTTCGATATAGCTCTTCTAGCAGAGGTGGATTTTGCGGTCCTTCTAGTTTCTTGATATCTCAATGCTCAGGAAAAGTGTGGCACTACCCTAAGTCCTTCATCGTAAATCGTTCTAAGATGTCATACTGACATTCGTTGCACTCAGTTTGCTATCAAACTCAATAGCAAACTTAGAAATCTGCTCCTCAAACCTACAAGTCACCATACATATCTTGGCTTATCACACCAGCAACAAGAGCAATACTACTCAACGATTGCTGCAAACTCTTCTACTATATCTGTTTATGCTACATACATCACAGCATATCATTTGGACACTCATTGAACAAGTTATTAAGAAAATCTCCTCCTTAAGGGGGTGGGCCAATACTACCACATGGCATATCTCTACCAACTAGAGGCCTAGGAACATGAACGATAGCTCCAAAAGCTTTTACAACCCTCTATGATTCATTACACGTCATCGATCCTTACTTACCCACAAGATTGGTTAAGTTATGACATAATTTGTCTATAGGTACTCTGACCTTGGACCTCCTTTTCACTTCTATAGGCTAGGAACACAAGAGATGGTTCTATGGGATTCTCTTATATTCGCTACATGATTAGCAAGCTAGTTGTGGGTCACACTTGATTTCTAATACATTTACCAAGCCTGGTTAGTCATGGAAAGTCTTGGAAAATGAGAGAACTACACTCCTTTGGCATAAATAGGATTGCCCTTTCCTTAAGAAAGGGCAAGCAGACAATACAGTAAATCGACTAGCACATACTTCTACATCTTTTCCAAGCTTCCAAGCATTGATCTTGTAATTCTTTGTTTCTGAAAAGTCAGTGAGGTGCTAACCTCTGACTTATCCCTGAGTTCTCAGACTCAACATTTGTTACAACTTGTCTAAACCACTTCACTACATCATACACCTGATTGCTGCATTGTGGAATAGTCTAAGCTACACTCCTTTGGCTCTGTTTCCTAAGACAGTGTGTTGTCTTAGTAAAATCATCCCTCCCCTTTCATTGGGTGGCTAGATTCTCACATCTGGTGCACCCACCATTACAAGCTGGTCATCGTGAGTAAGGTGGGGCATTATAGTTATAGAAAGAGTAGAAATTTCCTACATACAAAATACTATAAGTAAAATTTTAATGCGTTTATAGGTATAAACAAACCTACGTGTGTTATGATTACAGCTCACAGCTTGTTATGGTTATTACGGTTGTTATAGGTATATAGGGGATTACGGTTGCAGTCTTAGCCACCAAGGCTACAACCGCTAAGCGGACAACTTGTTGAAGTGTGTGATATCACTTGCAGCGGTAGTATAAGTCATCAAGTTGAGTTGAACAACAGTTCACTAGAATATGTGTTGTATTGTTATTATTCTGAGTGAAGCTATCTACAGAACTATTTGTGGGTGGTCCGCAACCCGATTCGGTTAGCGAGCCACACGCCCAACCAATGCAACCTCCTCCTTCAACACAACTGTATATTATGAGGAATTGCCTCACCTTCCTTCCTTCTTCTTCTTCTTCTCTCTTTAGATTTAATCTAGCTTACTTTACCTGGACTGGCACCATGTGTTATGGCTAAGTGCTAGTGCTATGGCTAGCGCTTACGGCTGCAACCTCACGTGATGGATAACATTGGATATCATGGATATTATGTTATCCATGTTATCCACGGCGATCCACGGAATGTCATGTGATGGATAACATTGGATATCTTGGATATTATGTTATCCATGTTATCCACGGGGATCCACGGAATATCAGGTGATGGATAACATTGGATATCTTGGATATTATGTTATCCATGTTATCCACGGGGATCCATGGAATATCAGGTGATGGATAACATTGGATATCATGGATACAACACTCGCTACCAGCACACGGCCATCAGGGAGTAACACGCACCTTTGAACGAATCACCCGACACTACTACTTCCCAGGTATGAGGAAGCAGGTGGAAACGGTAGTAAGAGAGTGCGACATTTGCAGCAAATCAAAATCCAATAGGCACTTGCCATATGGACAGCTGAAATCGATTCCAGTACCAACAGGAGCGTGGAAATCTATAGCTTTGGACTTCATTGTCAAGCTACCACCCTCTCGGGACCCGTTAACAGGAGTAGTATTTGACACTATCCTGGTTATTACAGAAAGACTCACAAAATATGGAATATTTGTGCCATATTTAGAAGCTAGCGATGCTGAAGCACCCGCATACACCTTCCTTAGAGTCATATTAGCCGATCACGGATTACCAGAAGAAATCATCTCAGACAGAGACAAGCTTTTTACTTAGAAATTTTGGAGATCTTTAATGGCACTTTTGGGAACAAATCATAAGCTATCAACAGCTTTCCATCCCCAAACAGACGGTCAAACAGAAAGACTGAATCAAACCCTTGAACAATACCTACGGAGTTATGTCAACCACCAACAAGACAATTGGGTTCAGATATTACCCATCGCACAGTTCGCATATAACAGCGCGATGACCGAAGCAACAAAAGTCTCACCGTTCTTTGCCAATTATGGCTATCAGCCAGAGGCATATAGACAACCACGACCAGATGAATCAAGAGCAGAACAAGCTATGATCGCCATGGAACAACTCAAATCATTCCATGAACAACTCGCGACAGACATCCAATTCTTAAATGAACGATCTGCCGCGTATGCAAACAAGAAGCACAGTATGGAACCTGCCTTCAAGGAGGGGGATAAAGTATATCTACTCCGGAAACACATCAAAACGAAACGACCAAGTATGAAGTTGGACTTCAAGAAATTGGGACCATTCAAAATATTGAACAAAGTCAGCTCAGTTAATTACAGACTGCAGCTACCCAAGAAGTCTAGACTACACCCGGTATTTTATGTCTCACTATTAGAACCAGCAAGAGGAAACACCCCGATTGTGACTGATACAGAACTCTAACCCGAAAATGAGATCATTGAATATGAAGTCGAAGCGATCCTAGACAGAAGGTTAGTAGGATGCAAAGAAGAGTTTTTGATCAAATGGAAAGGTTATGAACCTATGGACAATTCATGGGAAATGGTAGGAAACCTTAGCTGTCCAGAATTGCTGGAGGCGTTTCACCGTCGGCACCCCAACGTTCAAAGAAGCCAGGAGACAGGGCTGCGAAAAAGTCCTCGTCAAGGGCGACGCCCTTGGAGACAGTAGTAGAAGGGTTGGACAAGAGAGTCCCTTTGGCCTCTGCCTCCCTACGCTCCTTTTCCTCCACTTCATCTAGCTCGTCCATGGTTTTTAGACCACGACGAAGCATGTCCTTAGCATGGGAATGAAACAAGCGCTGTTGTTGACGAAGTCAAAGGATCTTGGCCATCGCTGCCTCCTCCTCTGCTTGCAAACAATGCCCCTCACTGTCACGGTCACCAAGGCATAGGGCACCAGTTGGGTATTATGAATTAAACTCAATCTAGAGAAGAAAGGAAAGAGAAGAGGAGCACTCGAGCAGTGGCTCGATCTATATACAGCTATGTTGTTGTGGAGTGAATTCTCTTTAGCGAGACCAGTTCTGAGAATTCACTCCACAACTGAAAACTTCGCTCCAACCCCGGAAAGCTCCCCACACCCCTGAACCCCCACTCGAGCTGCAAGGCTTACTTGATATCGTAACACTACCCCCCCCCTACTCCAGAGTTGATCTCCTGATCAAGAAATCCCATTTTCAAAAAAAAACAATTGTCTCCAGCTCTCATTTTGGTTTCTGAGTGTATTTTCTGTTATATGCTTGGGTAACTTCTGGAGAATTCTCAAAGCTCTCTGCAGTATACCATGTCTCATCCGGTGGATAGTTCTTCCAAGCTGCCTTGTAGAAAAGCTTCTTTCGAATAACTTTTGAGTCGAGGATTTCGTCCACTTCCCACTCCTCTTCGCCATTGACAATGACTGGAGGCTCTGGCTCCTATTGCTGCCCTTCGATTGCATCATTCGAGTCAAGTCTTAATAGATTGGCATGAAATACTGGATGAATCTTCATGCTGTTTGGAAGTTTGAGCCGATATGCAACTTGCCCAATTCGCTCTAGAATTTCAAAAGGTCCCACTTGCTTGTGGTCTAGCTTCTTTGATGGCCTCTGTGTCTTTATATTTTGAGTTGAAAGCCATACTCTGTCTCCCACTTGATAGCGTGGTGCAGGTTTCC